GCACCATTTTATGCATGTACGGTCTACCGAAGGTGCATAAATCAGGAGTGCCGAAACTGTGTCCCATACTGGACATGTTTCAATCATCCTATCATAGACAGAAGTGTTTATGCATCTTACATTTACTGTCATCCGTGGATGATGATTAATGACTCACCCCTTAAAAACTCAAAGATCTACCTGCAAAAACCAGCTTCTTGACAGAAGGCGTTAGCAGAGACAGAGGTCTAGGGGGACACATACTGTTATGACAAAAAATACCCAATCATTGTGGTCTGAATGGAGGATACTGAACCCTACGTTCTACTGTATAGCTGTCCAAAGCTTCCTTGAAACACACGCACACACAGTCACAAAAAGCTCCAAAAACAGCTAAAAGACGGTCATTTGTGGTTGGAATCTATGTGTAGTTGGATTCAGCAATGTTAACATCAAAAACTCAAATTTATCTCAACACTGACGTTAGGCAGCTATGCCGCCTAGATACGTTCCCAGTACAAAACAGGTACTGTAGGACGAAACTAATTAACTGAAATTCACCTGTAAGAATTACCTTAGAATAAACTTGAATACTTCCAACACAGTGAGTTCAAAACCACCGTCCATAAGAACCGCAAATCAACACTTCCTGCAGACAGTTCGAGGTTGAAGTGGCCCAAAATTCAATCAAACGAAATCACGTCACACAAACACACAGAACTATACTGTTCAGTGCAAAAATTTTTCAAGGATTTCATGCTGTCCACCTCATGATCCACATTGATCAGATGCCTGACGATAGTGCTTTTGAAAGCGTGGGCTATTTGGTTCATGTTCAGACAATTGAAAATGTTCCTTTCTTTCTGTCCTCTAAATGCATGGAAGAGCATGTCGTCCGATAAAGGGGAATCAGCTTACCTGCAGAATAGGTTCTGGTCTCCCGTTGACTATCCCCCAGTATTATGACCTTTATCTAATTTTCGTAAGTATGCTAAAATTGTTCCGCACATAAGCTTAATAATTTCTTTAGTCTGTAAGCAGATGATGTGAGACCAACCACACTCATGATTGTTCTCGCTTTTGCTGAAGAACTTATTCTTCAACAGATAGGCCGAAAAGACTGGAGATAGATTGGCTTAATGCTGAAGAAACCTTTAAGTAACACGACGCTCCTCCAAGGGAACGACGAGTTGGATTTGGGTCTGAGGTTGACCTGGTGGAGATGGCGGTTATGGACAGAATGAAATCGAGATGTGTTGTTGCAGCCTTGTGTTCCACTTGGAGCCCGATGGAACTATAATGATATAATAACAATAATGATAAAATTTGTAAGGATTAGTTATGTTTTACGAGTTGATCACGGACTGATATCAAGTACTCCTTGGTTTTCAATGGTTCTCTAACTGATATCAGTCCGTGATCAACTTAAAATAAAAACTTGTCTTCCTCGAAAAGAAAATTTTCCTCGCTATTTACGTCTTTTCTTATGACTCAGTATGGGAATATTTCGTTCATTGAAGAACTCGAAGGACCCTATGACAGTGAAAGAATTAGACAAATTCCTGAGCTTTTCTGTCAAGCTTGCTGAAGTTAACACTGAGCTTGCTTTTCCGAAACGATGTATCGATAAGCATGAGTGTTCAAAACATTACTGGAAGAATCTTCGCTGGAATCACAATTAACTGATTAAAAATGCCCATTAAAAATTTCTTAAATAGAATAGACACGGAACAAAGAGTACTCTTTTCGATAAATTCATCATCAGGCTCTACAATTATATGTACATTATAATGAATGAATGAGTTAGTCTTATGAACGACATTAATACTGTGTAAATAACATCTAATCAATAATATTGATAAATTACAGCTGAACAGCATCAACATAAAATAAGCTGAATGTCAGAAGAATTATGAAAGATAATAGTACAAATTCATGAGTTTATAGTCTCTACTGAGGGCCAGGCCACTATAAAGGGGCTGGACTTGTTTCTTTTGGACACAGAGCACTGGTTCTTTGAGGCGAATGGCTATAGCCTCTGCTGTTTGGAGCATGTGGTGCTTCGACGATTTTGGTAGTTTGTTAGGCACCCGCTATATTATAGAGAAGGATTCTTCTACGCTGGCTTTGTGACCGGTTTGCACCAGATGGTCTAATATCGAGTTGTTAATAGTTTTAACTCCACCTTCACTTAGACATAGTGGGATATGTTCTCGAGCACAAAAAATCAAGTTCCTAGAGCAACGGCCAATATAACTTACTCCAGAGGCGCAGTTGAATTGATAAATGCAATTTGAAGTGGCTAGTCTAGGTGCTTCATCTTTCAGTCGAGGTAGCATCATCGGTCGTGTAGAGAATAATACGTGTAGTTCGCCAGCATTAAAAGTTCTTTGGACTGATTTTCTTAATTTCTTCGTAATTAACTCGCTTGGTATATCGCCCATGAATTGTATTCGTATATAAAGTGGCTTCTTGCTTACAGATAGTGGGTAGTCCTTTTCGGTTTTCTTTGTCATATGTTTCTTGATAATTCAAATACACTAAGACGTTATACACTGAATCACATCGATGCTATCCACTCACGGCCACCCGAACTTGAGCGAAATATATCACAAAGAACCCATGTCTTCCATGAACTATCTGATGATGAAAGAAAAACGTTTCACGATTATGTATCCAATGTCATACGAAAACGTTGCTACGATACTACTTCACGGCTAACAAAAAGCCTGAAACCATTAGAAACTGTCTCATCGTTTCCACAGAATCCTGAAAAATATATCTTCAACTTTTCGAATTCTTCATTCACTCCTATTCAAATCCAAGTCCTATCACTTGGTCCGAAATTTTACCATGTATCGAGTAAAATCAACGAAATACAAACTAAAGTGCATTTCGAGAATTTAATGTCACAGACATTCGATTTTTTACCTACTTCTGAAAAAGATCTTGATTATTTCAAAGCTTGAATTCTCGACAGCTGCTACAAGTGCGTTCGTACACAATGGAGCCACCGTTATCTGCTGACCAAGGAACACAGAAGACAACTTAAACAACTTCAAGAAAATAAAGACAAAATCATCGTTCGTTCTTATATGGCCGATGGGATTGTGGTAATGAATAGATCCGACTATAATGAGAAATTGACAAACAAACTATTAGACAACAACGAATTCTTCAATTCAGCCAACCAGAGAGACACAACAGAAAGAAGAGAAAACCTCCTTACGGAATTGCTGAAGAGAATGAAAGAAGATTCAGTCATAACACCGGAGATATATGAGCAAATAAAGTCATGCAGTTCAAGTATTCCAGGAATGTCAGTGAATCGCCATTACCTAGTCCGAAATGCTAACTTAATCACAGCCATACAGTTTATTATATGAAGCGGTTTTTCTTATATCATTATGTAAATACCATGTAGTGGGCTTCTCTAATTTCATATATGTGTAAAACTTGGGCACTGTGGTAGTAAGTAATTCCATATTAGTTTGTTTATAAGATGTATCACACAGTGAAACAGTATTATTTACTGGATGAAGTTTCAAACAAAATTTATTGTTCATAATCATATCAATTATAATCACACGACTTTGAAACTTGAGTTTTATAGTTTTCTTTGTTCTCTGCTATTTGTCTTAGGGGTGGTAGAATTTTCCAGATATCGGGGACAGGTGATGAATCATTCCTATTACATGTATTTGCAGTTGATTCGATAAACAAAGCCTCTGTTATCAATCTCTCCCTATACCCTGTGACATTAGATTTTAAAACTGTCATCCTATCCCATCCTATTGTATGGTTGTGTGTGACTGCATGTAGTGCTATAGCTGAACTATTCTCTAGATTTCTTATCTCATTCGCTAGATTTTTGTGGTTGGTTAGTCTGACTGCACCTGTTCTACTACTTTGACCTCACTGACAATCATTCCAGCAGGGTATGAGATAGACTGAATTGTTTTGTTTTGAAGACTCCACAGGATCCTTCAACCGAGAAAGCTTGTTTCTAATTGAGTTTGTGGGTGGTGTGAATGCCAGCCACCTTTATTCCTGCATTGTTAAGAATTCTGCGTAAGGTTTCCGAGGTTCCTTCCTTGTATGGAATTACTACTGGTGATTTAGATTCCCTATTGTTGGCGTTGTCTTGAGCATATTTGACATGCATGTCATCATTAATATTATTATTATTATCACTATCACTACTATCATTATTTATTTTATTTTTACGTTTCCTTATATATTTCCTGCCTAATTTATCAGGGTAATTATTAAGTTTCAAGGCTTCTCTTTTATATATCACTTCCTTTTTTAGATTTTCCTTGGTATTACTTAGTTTTTGTGCTCTGTCACTTAAACATTTCACCAATCTTATTTTTATTGATATAGGATGGGATGATTGGAAGTCCAAATATCTGTTTTAATGTGTGGGTTTCCTGCAAACACTAGTGTTTAACTTCCCATCTTCTTTCCTTTTTACGCTACAATCTAACATTGGAAGCTCCCCTTTTGAGTGGCTTTCCAATTCATAAGTGAATTTAATTGCCTCCACCTTTGAGTTAATGTGTTCGAAAAATCTGTCTATATCCTGTGTTCTAAGTACAGTGAATGTGTCATCTACATACCTCCACCATACTTTTGGCGTGGGGCTGAACGTTTCAATCGCTATGTTTTCCCACCTATCCATGAATATATCTGCTACAACCTGGGATATTGGTAATCCCATGGCAACTCCTTCAGTTTGTTTGTATATTTTCCCTTGGAATTTAAATACTGTTGAAGTCAGGCATAGCTGCACTCCCAGCATTATGTCGTCAAGAGGCACTTTCGTCCTAAGTTCATTTATGATTATGAACAATAAATTTTTTTCGAAACCTTGTCATCCAGTAAATAATGCTGTTTCACTATGTGATACATCTAATAAACAAACTAATATGGAATTCTCTAATTTCACTTAAACTGTTTGTAAGTCAGCCTAATTATTGCTATTTGTTTCGTCCACTCCATTTTTTTTACTTATTTAGCAAGAAAGTCTATTGCACGAGCTGCTGTCTCATTTGTACCTATGCTACATCCAAATCAGCTGAAAGAATTAGAGAATAGTCCAAATATAACAAGACGTGCAAGTGCACATGTTATCTGTCCTGTAAGTTGAATTTTTTAAATTTGTTGACAGTCTTTATCGATGAAATCATCTTCAGAGGCTGTACAGTCGTATTTATACTTACCAAAAAATATATATAGTGGTCTATTATTGAGATCCTGAAGAATCGCTTATGCAGATCACTGAGGAAAGGCTTCTTTATGGCTGAGCTACGTATCAAGCTCTACAGTCGACAAATGATCAATGGATGTATGAAGGATAAACTGCCGCTACTTTGGGCCACCGCAGTGTGTGTTTATAAATTCACCTGCTCGTGTGGAGCTAGTTAAATTGGCCGTACAACTTGGCGCACACTTTCCAAACGCATCTCTGAACATTACCCGGCAAGGACAATGCAAGAAAATTACTAGCTCAATTCTCGAGCATTTGGTGAACTCAGGCCACGTAGCTCCACCAAAGTCGTCTTTCAAGATTATCTACAAAGTGAGGCCAAATGGTACAAAGGGTGTCAGGTTTAGGCTTTTGTGTATGGCGGAGGCGCTGGCAATTCGTCAACACAACTGCGAACTGTGAATACAGAAAACGTTTTTCCAGTCTCTTATTCTACCTTGGTCTTAACCTCTTCACTAGTCGTTCCATGTAAAACATTTTGATTTTTTCTTTTCTTTTTTAATTTAATTTCACTTTTAGTTTGCTTTTGCTTTAATAATTTAATTCACTATTATCACTCTCATATGCTCCTTTTGTACATTTTCACACTCAACTACCTTTATTCTCACTCAATCGCAATTTTAACCTTATCAAATTTCTACCTTTGTGTCGTGGAGTACCACGTAATTTACAACTTTTAATTTTTTCCTTCTAAAGCCACTTCCGAGTAAATATATCAATTATTTCACGCCCTATTACTCAATAATAGACCACTATATATTTTTGGTAAGTATAAATACGGCTGTACAGCCTCTGAAGATGATTTCGTCGATAAAGAAAACATTTTCTTCGCTGAATTTGTCTTTTATTTTCTTCATGACTCAATGGGTATTTTCAGTGATATGTTGACAACCGTTGAGAACTAAAGAGCCACCTAGGTTTTATTGTTATTATTATTTAAGTATTCAATGATTTACACCTAATTTTCAAATGTTTTCTGTAATACTCTCCCGTTAGAGTTATGTCGACTATGTATCGCAGCAAACACTCATATGATCGGTGAAGTATTCGCATACATTCTAAGGGCATAATCGATGAAAGAAGCTCAAGTCGAAGAACCCGAATAGGAAGTAACGATTCGGGTGTGAATCCAAGTGTGAGAAATTTTTCAGCTAATATAAGGCAGGTTAAAAGGGACAGCAGTTGTACTGTTAAAGCCCTATGTTCCACTGAGAATTCAAGGGATCATTTCTTCTCATCCCGCGTGATCTAGCGGTTAAACTTCTTGGCTCACAGGTTGAGGAGGAGGCCGTCGAATGACATCATGAGCAACGCAGGCCATCGCTAGAGCGGAATACCAATGGGAAGCGACGAGTGAGTCGTCCGTGAGAGGGAGACATAGATAAGAGGGAAATTATAGGTAGGTAATCGTGGACCCATCTGAAGAGGACAGCAGGAAGTAGAAGAAAGTGGAGATGTGTTGTTGAATCCACTGGGAACCCAAAGGAATAATAATACTGATAATGGTATGCCTAAAGAAGAAGAATTTATCAAAATTGAAAACTGTCCACCCAAAATTATTCAGGTTTTCTGGATAAAAACAACACTAATGTTTTTTTCCTTTTTTATGAGATATGATCTCAGAAATCAGTGTAATTCATCAATTCAAATAACTGATTTACTCATCCTCTTATTGTTATTACTTTTTTATGTTTAGTCCCTTCATTATTAAGTATTTTTTGACAATGTATTTTACTGATCACATCTACGAGATATGTATCTAAAATACCTTTCAGTAATTTGATTAGATGACATTTGGCATCACATGTCACATAAATTTATCATCCCGTTTCGTTTCACATGAATATTTCATCATTCTAAAGCATATTCTCCTTAAGACAAGTAGTCCTATTATAAAACGTTTATCGCCTTGCATCTATCATGGTTCGCAGTAAATAATCTCTATGAAATATGTGACTATTAATCGGTTGCAAGAAAAATAAAATTGCATATTGGATAAACATTCACATTTTTATAGGTCAAGTAGTCGAGCGTAGGCAGAGGATTGAATTTTATCGTTTTCTGTATACACATAATTTAGGATGCATGGGATTAATCCCCTCCCCAAACAAAAAACTAATTCCGTCACCTTCAGCAACCAATAATGCTTGCTACTGAGTGGTGGCTACAGGAAGAAGTTGGCTGGAGTTCTAGTGAGAAGTCGTGGCCAGTGTCATTCATCCTGTTAGGAGTGAGGATGAAGTTCCTGCCGATGACATTGGTTGCGCTAAATTCACGAATTGATAGAATTTAGAATTCATGGGCCACTGAAACCGGTCCCAGTGGTTAAAAAGGCATACGCGCTTGCATTGTAACTGAAAGGTCATAAGTTCGAAACCCAGTGTGTGCCTACTACTGATGAGTGCCAAATGGGAGATGGTCATTAGTACTGATTTTTTGATCAGGAATTAAGAAATTTTCTGGTCATAAGGATTTGGCAGACCTTAGACTCCGCTAGCTTAATATCCCAAATTCGAATAGAAATAAAAATACCAAATCCATAAAGTTACTGGAAGAATATATTAAAATTTGTTACTTGGGGTTATTACAAGGTCCAAATCCACAATTAACTTAGTAGACTCCAGAAGTATTGTGCGAGGGCTGCTCCAAACTTAATTCTCCAATATCAATATTGCCAGAGGTCGACCAAGGTAACGTAGGGAGAAGATACGGCGTTCCTGCGAAATTTTGAAATAGAAAGTAGGTAATCAGAATTGGTCGATGGCAGTTGAGGTTGTAGAGAAGACGGAGAGATGTAGGCAGAACTATATTTTCATTCAAACCACGAGGTTAAGTACAAAGTACAGAGATTCTGGTTAAAACAAAGTAATGTACAATATGTTCATTTCTCACATAGTAGTAAAAGTTGGATAAGTTTATTTCGGAGGACTCCACAAGGATGATGCTGGACTTCTGTTGCGTTCAGTCCGGTCGTAATTGAACTTGCCGTTTCAGGTTTACGAGGAACATCCAAGTGGTGCGCGAAGACGGTGATGAATAGGAGTTGCTTGGCAGAGGTAGGCTATGAAGTTGCATGATCACATGACAGCATTTTGAGAGGAAGACCGTGAAATCTAGTCACCCTCAGCATAGCACGTCACTTACGGAGGCAAGTAGTAGTTTCATAAACGATGTATTTTTTAGCACTTAAATCAACTATTGAGAGTCTTCGTAAGTCACTGCATTCAGTTTGAATCTGTGTAGTTCATAGTGTAGGGGGTGGACTTTTGCATTTCTATGTTATTCAGTAAAGTGTAAACTGTTAATCAGAGGGAGCGAAGTTATTTGCGAGAGTGCTGTGACCATTTAGCTTACTTGAGAAGCTGTTGCATCAACCCCATTGGGCTACTACTAACTAATTGATGACGACACTGAAGCATTCTATTGGTTCGACCTACATATGTTTCCCCGCAACTTGTTGATCTCATCCTTTTGATTACAGAAATTGAAAATGTTCAGCAGGTAAGGAAAAAAGATACGACGTAGGATATACCCCTGATATCTGACGGAAGCTGTGTAGTGTCAAGTAGATGGTATGATCAGCTTTGCATGCTGTTTTAATAAAGGTGGATTTCTTTTTTTTAGGAAACTGTCTTTTTAAGAGGTTAAATTAGTTTTGTTGAGATATAAAATGACCTTTCAGTGGAGAACTTTCGGAATATTATATTACAACTTCAATTCATTATATACCATTTGAAAAAAATTCTCCAAATGGTGATTTGGTTTCATAAATTTAAAATATCTCACACACATTAGGTAACGCGGCTGCTAAATTTCGTAAAGTGATATACAGTGGTCACAAAATAGATAAGCCATAGGTTTCCCGCTTGTTGGTACTCGCCAGCAAGGCACACCTGAAATTCCTTTACGTTCAGTGGAACATAGGCTTCAAGCTAGAGGCTTGAGTGTGCGTGAGCTCATGCCAACTTTCCTCTCAGTTAGTTCTGCTTGGAGGTAAGAGTGCGCCGGCCGGGGATCGAACCCCGGACCATGTGCATGGTTGGCAAGCGTCCTTACCGCTATGCCACCGAGCACCTGAAATCTTCAAGGGACTCATATCCCCTCTGAGAATCGGGACCGGCCCTCCAACTGCTGCCGCAATCAGACCTGGCGATTAACCTTCTTTAGAACTGTTGCGGACGCTTTGATTGGACACTAGGTAGTTACCAGTGTCACGCATCTAGTCCTTGCTGCCGAGTGCTAACAATCACGAAGACTAGGTCAGGAATGGCTTCCAGACTGTTGCCTCCAACCATTTACCAATAATCCAAAGTGCATTGCAAGGGCAAATCACCTGGCTTGTTTTCTGACCACATTGCTTATTTTACAGACAGAATCAATTAAAAATTCATTTTTCTGAGCCGTTTCACATTTTTTAGCGACTACACAATCTTTAATTGAAACTCACTAATCTTTACCCTCTTACTTATCCTTCGATAGATGTGAACAGTATTCAAAACTAAGTTTCATTTTTCTATGCTTGACCGACTGAATGTGCACACACAAATACACACATAAGGATTACGGGTATATATGTATATATAAATGGTAGTATGGTGAATATATATGCATTGAGTCTTTTCTAACCCACTTGTTTTTAAAATAAGAAACGAGCTAAATCAGGTATAGTAGAGTTTACGTGTAGTTAAGTCATGCTTGTATTCGCTGCATTTCTCCCCCCCCCCTCCGAGTCCGCCATCCAAGTTGTAATCTGTACAAGCGAATTCGTTTGATAGTGTCTTATTAGCTTAAGAGAACTCTGTTAACCATCTTGAAACTTAATTCGTCATTATGTCATTCTATTATTATGAAGGTTTTTGTATTTCAAAGTGAATAAAAGGAAAATAAGATGATTTTTGTTTTTCCATTAATAGATTTTCGTTACAAACCAAAATCAGTTAGAGAGACTATTAAAAACTTGAAAAACACTGGACAGCTGTTTCGTCCCATGTTGGCACTCTTCAGAAGTGACCACGCACCACTCCACCAGGGTTTGAAACCGCGACTTTCCAAAACTCTTTGGTATCCAATGATTCTTCTAACTGGAGTTCGTTCGTAACGAAAATCTTACAGTTCAAAGTGAAATCTAAATGCTCGAAAATCCCACTATCTAAATATCGATCTCATGGTTGCTGTGGCTAACGAATGGATGTTTTGAAGGTGTACGGAGAAGTCGTAACCAGTGAGGTTCTTCGTGTCCAGATTGATCGGATGCTCATCGAAGGCATTGGCTGAAGGTAGCAGTGTATACACAGAAAGAAAGGGAATTTTATATTAATTATGAGTTCCGGAGGATAGATAATTCAGCGAAATAAAATAAGTAAGACAGTTAGGTTGAAAATAATGAGAATAAGATTGTCCAGCCAAAAATTCAATGCAAGAGACGTCATCCATGCCAAAAGAAAGAAACTTTACATGAACGTTAACTTCAAAGACGACCTACTTAATGATATCCTTGGGAGGATAATTTTGCCTTCTTTTTAAAGAAACCTTCTCCTTAGTGTTTTTCAGTCACCTACTGAATTGCAGAAGCCAAAAAGACAAGATCTCTCATCTAACCACTTCTATGTACATACATATGTTCACCTGTTCTTATTGAGTCAAGGTATATTGATCGTTCTATTCGGATCTTAACGAATAGAGTTCATGAACACTCTCCTGCATGGCTACAGACAGGCATCGTCAGCTCTATAAAGAGTGAACTGATCAAATACCTTGTAGAAACTGGTCAGTATATCTCAACAAACTCCTCTTCCAAATTTCTTTGAACAAGCTCGATTCACTTGATGTATATTTCCACATTATTAGGCATTTCATTTCATTTTTTTGCGAGTTGATCACGAATTGATATCAGTCAGAGAAACATTGGAAACCAGGGAGTACTGGACAGCTATTTCATCTTAGTCTGTGAATTATTGTCAGTACCCATCCGAAGTTCCAGTGAGAAGTCGTAACCAGTGGGGTCCATTCAGTGAAGTGTGAGGATGGATGTCCCACCGACGACATTGTTTGGTGGTCACGCTAAATCACGAATTGGTAGAAGTTAGAATTCATGGGCTGGCCACTGAAGAGTCAGTTCTCAGTGGCTGAGTGGTATACGAGCTTGCCTGGTAACCGGAAGGTCCTGGGCTGGAACCCCAGTGGGTGTGTACTGCCAATGAATCCCAAACTGGGATGAAATGGCTGTCCAGTACTCCCTGGTTTTCAATGCTTCTCTAGCTGATATCAATCCGTTGCCAAACGTCTATAAACTAATCTAATCCTTACAAACCAATTATAGAAAATTTCATTTGATATAAAACGTTTGACATGCATTTTTAAATCATTCAGTAATTGAACATTGACTAACTAACTAACTAACTACATTACTCATTCATTCATTATATTTTTCAGCTGCCCCCACAAAATAACGATCTACGCTTTGATAAACCACCAGTGAACGATCATCATCACCATCTTCCAGATAAAGACAATTCAGCATCCCTATCATTCCTCGGTTTACAACTGCCAACAGTATCAAAATTACGTCGGCATAGTTGTGATGCTCAACAAAAGGAAAAAATGACTGCCTCTTCAAATATGCTATGTGAGACACCAAAAGACACTCTGTCTAGACGGAGTAGTGATCATTCTTTACAAGATAAAGATATGACTAACTGGTATACCAGTCAAAAATCACGTGGTCTACTGAATTCAGATGAGAAAAGTCTGCTCACTGCTCAAGTCTGTGAAGGACCATTTGTACGAACACCGAGTTTACAGCAAAAACCAAGCTGGAATTTAGAACCAGTCAATGAACCGGATAAAAGTTCAATGACAACTTCAAATAACGTAAGTTGATGAGACATATTTTTGTAAAAATGTGTGACTTATAGAATTTAGTCTCTTCACCAAGACTAAAGATTAGACGTATGACAGTGGTAATGAACTAGTGTCCATTGAAAATACCCATTACACCTGTACAGAAAATCAATTACGACCCCGAATAGCTCGATGATTACATCTTTGGCTAGGTGACTTGGGTTGGAATCTCAGAATGAACATGAGTTCCTTGAAGCCTGCCGATAAGCCTTGTTGACAACGAGACAATGGGTAATATTAGTGACCCATCATAAACCGTTTAAGCAACTAAATTACGCAGCATGGTTGTGAATTATATCCTGGTGATAGTTAAGCTTGCAAACACACCTTTTATATTACACTCCTGAGGTGATTGACACCACCTGGACGCCTTCGACGTACTATTTTAGCTATAGCCAGATTTAGCTACAAAACCTATCTGCTGGTATATTCCTCCTCTGTGATTCACTACTTAAAGAGCCGGGATGCAAATATATATTATTTGGCAGCTAGAAATATGATGAAATGGACATCGAGGCGTCAGAAATTCACAAGGGAATTAATAGGACTGTGACAGAAAGAGTGGTAACACAAGCATTGTGGCTAACCAACCAATCAGTATGATCACACACTGATAAACTGAAGGTATCTACCGGAAAAACTTCGACACGTTTTCGTATTCGGGTGAGTACATAACATCATTTAGACATTTATTATATACTCTGATGGTTCTTCCCTGACTTTGCCCTGCTGGATCTGCTACGGGCGAAATAGTTATGTACAAGGTCCAAAGAGGATTGTGGCAAAGTTCAACGATAGCGTCCCCAGGGATGCGAACGCATGAGTGTCCTTCAACCGACCAATCATAAAAATAAGGAATTTTCGCACAAGAAAATGCAGGAAAACACATTAAACACGACATCTTTCTCTGACGTGACTTAAAAATACATCCCAGTTTTGATGAAAAGTATCAGTTGCCAAGTTAGACTAGTGTCTGTACACTTAATAACCGAGATGACTAAAGATGAGCTGTTTTTGTGAATCGCTTATCTCTCTTATCCTGTTGTGCAGTCTTCCCCAAAAGCCTTCGGTTGAATCACTATAGTTTCCAGTAAGAGGATTGACAACTACTTACCAGGGAAATGTGGATAATAAAACAAATTAAAATAAATGACATCACCTGTAAATCTATCCCTAATCGTAAACCTAACCTTAATCCTAACCCTAATTACAACCCTTATCCTAACCGTAAGCCTAACCCTTATACTAATTATGACCCTGATCCTAAACCTAACCCCAATACTTACCTTAACCCTTACCTTAACCTTAACGAGATATTAACGCACTGCCCAAACAGTACTTAAAAGCGTGATCTAGGTGAAGTTTGCTCCTAAGTTGGTGAATTATTATTATTGTTTCCTTTAATTCCAAGAGGAACATAGGGCTTCAGCTGCACATCTCCATTGCGTTCGGTTCTCTGCTAGAGTCTTCAACTGGCTCCAAGTCCGCACACACGTTTTCATCTCCTCTTCACATGACCTCCTCCAAGTCATCCTCACCCTTGCACTGACGACCAACTCGCCGCTTCCCTTTCGGGTTCCACTCGAGCGGTGGCCACTCTAGTGATGTCACTTGATGGTTTCCTCAGAGTATGGCCAATCCATCTCCATTTCTTCCTGCTTATTTGTTTCACGATCGGTTCCTGGTTGGTTCTCTCCCAGAGATCCCCGCTGTTGATCTCTTCTGGCAGGCCATCTGATCTTGAGTATTGAGCGAAGACAACTGTTGATGATGCAGGTCTGTAGTTTGTTTGAGATGCTCTTTATGACGCGCGGTGCAAGTCTCTGATCCGTATAGTAGACTGACTGACTTCACATTGGAGTTGAAAATCCGGATCTTATTTTTGATGCTGAGTGCTGTTGACCTCCACACAGACTTGAGAGTAGTGAAAGCTTGTCTCGTTTTTCCGATTCTTGCTTTGATATCCCCGTCAGTTCCGTCCGCCTGTAGTTGAAACGATGCTAGGTAAGTAACGGAGGTTGTTTCTTTCAGCTTCCACCCATTTATACTGGCTGATTGTTGTTTGTCGTTGTTGCTGTTGCTGTTGGTCAGGAATCTTCATCATCTCTGTTTTCTTTATGTTCACCTGAAGGCCTATCTCCTCTAGATGCTTCTTCTGCTAACTTGTTGCTTTTCGCTTGCATGTCTTCCAGTTTGTGTGAAATCAGACATATTTCATCGGCGATGTCCAGATCCTCCAAGTTTTTTGTGTGAGTCCATTTTATGCCTGTTTCCTCATTGCCCGCAGTCTATCTGTCGCATTATCCAGTCTACTGCAATCAAGAAAATCATTGGCGATAGTAGGCAGCCTTGTCCTACTCCTGTCCTCACTTCGAAGGGTTCCGTAAGCTTCCCATTGTGGATTACTTGGCAAGCAGCATTGTCGTACAGCTGTTGGATGAGATGTATTATTGTCGGTGGCACAACGTAGTAGCGAAGTAGTTTCCAGATCACCTCGCGATCGACGCTGTCAAAGGCCTTTTCAAATTCGATGAAGTTGAGATAAAGAGGTGATTACCATTCCAAGCTTTGTTCAATGATGATTCGTAATGTGGCGATCTGATGATCTCACTAAACCATATGATGAATTTTTGTGTTTCTGCTTTCTATGGTACGACTTACATTCGACACTGAATCTTTTCTAAATAATATGGGTTAAATAGTTTTGTTCTACAGCGCTCTCAATTTCGAAACATTAAATGACGCATATATGATTCAGTGGAAACTCTGCAAAATGCGGCATATAAACTGACAGCTTCCTGAAGACTGAGACTATTCGACATTTAACACGGATATTATAAAAGTCACTTCATAACTCATAAGTTTCATATTTTAACAATCTCTTCAATTATTTTTTTACTTTTGCCTGTCATTTATTAAAGAAACTTGGAAGAGACTTGAACATTAAACATAATGGATCAAGACGATCAAGTTTTACAGCTATTGGTGATACTGTGGTAAGTTTTCAGCGTTGATTTTTAAACTAATTCCCCTTATTTTGTTGTACAATACTACCTTTGCCTTTTTATAAAAGAATTATACACTGATATATGAGTGAATATAACTCAAATGGGACATCACTCTAATCCGTCTCATATAAAACTGTGTATACGAGCATCATTAACACCGTTGATAGGTACACTATGTTGAAGGGTTGAATTTTGAAATACTCATTTTAAGACTGATCTAAGATTCATATCAGTTGGAGAACCATTGAAAGCTAGAGAGTACTGGATAGCTGTTTCGTCCTAGATAGGAACGCTTCATCAGCACAAACACGGATGACCTAGCCAACAAGGATTTTAACTCAGGACCTTGTGATTATGAGTCAAACTCGTTGATCATTGGACCACTCTGGCCAGAATTAGACAACTCACAAAATTCCTACACCTGAAAGCTCTCTAGTATCCCTTAGATGGCTAAAGCTTCAGCTGTATGAACAAAACGTAGGTGAAATTCTCTTGAAAGACATAATCCTAATTCGTTATTTTTATATGATTCGTACGACTTCATCCCTAGTGGAGCCAAGGAATTCATCAGAACAACTTAATTTCACTGTCTTCTTGGCAGTTTTTCTGGCTAGCTGTATGACTGCCACATATGAACTTCTCCATATCAAGCATGAACACACAACTAACTCACTATTTTTCTATCTAGTGTCGACTAGATTGCCTAGTGTATGTTGAAACTAAACGGCCTCTTCAATGTGCGTGTGTGTATGTCCAGTTCATATCTAATTCTTTCTGCGGTGGATTGTTCGTTGGATTGTTGTCAGTGTGTTCTACGTTGCTTAACCTTTCTGATGTTGCTAGATTGTAAGGAAAGTAAATGAAACACGTTTTTAGTGGAGATGTGATAAGATTAAGGGATGATAAGAGAGGGGTTGAAAATATAAGTAAGGGGTGGTGTAGAAGTCATCAGTTGGTTATGTCTTAATTGGCCAACGAGGGAGGGATAATGGCTGTATACTAACTTCTTTTGAATGCACAGTTTAGGTTTAATAGTTCGAATGCCTATCATCTCGGCTATGTGTAGTAGACGAATACGAAGTCTATTGGAAAGATTCGGTGAGATACAATGAAATACTTTAAAAGCTCTCTTTTTCTCCACTACATGACCACTATCAAGTAAATGTGACAGAATTGAGCTCCGAACTGTTTTTTGTCTGTCCTTTGCAAACCACGATGGGCGATGTTCACTAACACGTTGCTGGCTAAGGTGTCTAGTAGTGTGTGCAACACAACTATCACCGCAGGTGCAGTTGAGTTGATAAATGCACATAAATGTGGCAAAACTATCTGTCTTATCCTTCGTTTGCGTCCCAATCATTCGTCGGCTTGAGAATGACAAACATAGGTATGCTGCGTAAAACGTTCTTCGTGTACTCCTTGAAAGTCTCTGGAATAAAATCTCATTTGATAAGTCACCAATAAATTGTAACTTAATAAACGGAGGATTTTTACGTGCAGTCAGAGTCTCAGGTTTCCTCCTCAATGTTTTCACATGTTTCTTTATGAAACTACTCGAATAGCCCATCTTCGCCAAGGAATCGTGAAAATATTCAAATTCCTTTTGTAAGAGATGATCCGTATATATCTTTCTTGCTCTGCTCATAAGACTTTTAACAACATTTCTTTTATATTTATTGGGCACTTAACTAAGGAAGTGTATGTATTGCCCTGTGAATGTGCTTTTTCTATACACACTTCTCCCAAGTGACCCATCTTCTCTCCTACTTAGCAAGACATCCGGAAAATGCAGTTTATTATCCTGCTCCTCTTCACAAGTGAAAGTAAGCGGAGGGTGGACGTTGTTGAATTTCAGTAACAATTCGTCTATGTTTACATTCCCATCAGCTTAGATAAATGTATCATCGATATATCGGTAATACATATCAAACTGCTTGATGATGTCTTTCAATTTCCCGTTTTCAAGTTTTGCGAGAAAGAAGTCCGCTAATATTGAGCCTAATTCTCCTTTTTATGCAGTCACGTAGGAAATACAATCGCTTTCTGGCATACACATTTTGTTTTTGGATTATATGATTTTGGTTAGCAAAAAGCTGATTACTCTCATTACTTGACATAGGCACAATGAAAAATGTCCAATGATTTATGAAGTTGTGATATTTGATAAGTAGTTTATGAACACACGTGACTGGTTGTCTGTAGGTCATTTGTAACCGAAAAAAGCCAAGAGGTTTTTCTCTGAAACTGATTGAATGATTATATTATTTCAACATTTAAAAAACGTTTTTAAATGTTTGAATGTTCAGTGATAAGGAGAATTTAGGAAAAAGATGAAATCATGGGGTTTTTTCGTTTCTCTCTAATCAAAGATAATTATAATCACCGCCCATTCATACACTGTGGATAAAATTTGTTTTGACAAAGTCTCATAGTGTGTTATACAGTAAGTAATATTTACTGATGACCACGTTTGGCGCACAATCTATTCCTACTCATAAGCGTATGCAGTTACTTATACAACTTTCTAACTTCGTTTATACCATTCAACTATTCCTCATCTCTTGATATAATCAGATTTAGCCAACACTATGGTCGAGTTTCCTTTGTTAGCCTTTGCGATGACAATGTTTTTATCCTGTTTTAGACCAATTAGAGCAAATCTTTCCGATTTCATTAAGTTTGACTGTTCCTTCTTTTGTTTCTTAAAAGTTAATGCACATTGCGCTAGAACCTTTTCCGCTGTTGTCTTATCTATTGAACTTAATGTTACTTCTGTGTTAGGAATGACATCTTCTGGTTTTAGTTTACTAACTGCTGCGTTGAAAAGTTTGTCCATTCTCCAGTACTTTTATCTCAATAGAGCTTAGTTTCCTTTACTGACTGTTGAATATTGCTTCTATTTGACAAAGTTTTAATAAAGCAGGAATTAGGGTGGCACTTAAGCCTACAAACTCAATCACCAAGTAGACAAAATAATATAATTTACGAAATACCTTGCAATGACTGTGATTGAAGTCAACTACATAGGTCAGAGTAATAGATCGGGCAGGGGTAGTCAAATTATCAGAACACAAGCATTTAGCTAAAGTGAGAATGATTGCACTGAAAGTATTAACACACAGTCACACAACAGGGTGCGACAGGGTCGAAATTCTAAAACGGAATATAGGTAGATAGATAAAGAGGTTGATTACTGAATCCAGGTTAATCAAATCTACACCATGCAATAGAAGTGACTCATCACTCACATCAGAAATATGGAAATTATTACTAGCAATCAAATCAAATGATGATAAAAGTGGAATCATTTAAACAAAGTTGGAGAGTTGTTTGAATAACTTGATATGATTATGAGCAGAAATAGATTGTGCTTTAAACGTAGTCATCAGTAAATCGTATTACTGTATCACACTGTGAGACTTTATCAAAATAAATTATACCCATAATGGAATTATAATCTACCACAGTTCACAAGTTTTATCAGTTTTACAATGGTCCATTAATCCAAACCCGTGACATTGTTTGCAACGCAGCAGCATCTCCTGACTTGTCTTCAGTTTGCTGGTCTTATTTTCAATATTGTAACGTTTGTTTTTGTACCCAATGAAATCTGTGAGTAGGAGGTATTTTTCCCATCGAATTTGATGATGTCCGTTGCTTACAGGTTACATACTACCTAGTGTCCAATCGAATTACCTATTACAGACGTACAGAAGGTCACTCGTGAATTTGAATAGCTCAGTGATAACATCTTGGACTGTGGCACTGGTTCAGTTCTCATAGGGGAAATGAATTTCTTTGGATTTAACATTTGGTGTCACCACCTCCAGAAGATGAAGATCCCGTAGCCGTCCGCTCTCGAAGAAGGAGACACTAGGATCTTCTTGCGGGACCTGAATGTCATAGCTGAGTTAGTGGACATCAATGATCCGACGGTGTAGGTAGTTTTTCTGGGGATGCTGCTGAAAGTTTGAGCAGTGTAAAACAATGCGAAGCGGTCAGGTGGTGAAGATACCTGGAAGGTATTGATGGACTACTGGTGTCAGAGTTCGACAGTCCAACGGATAGGCAGCTGACAATGCAGCAGTTCCGTGCCGTAAATCTGGGCCCTGACGGAGACCAGTTAGTAATGGTAGTGAAGCTTATGAATCTACTGCTTCATGCACTCCTCAAAATGATTGAAGAGTCATAGTCACATTTATTGACATCCCACTCCATCGGGAATGCTCCAGAACACATCTCTCAGCAACTACAACTGGTTAATGCTGCACAACTCAATGGACATCAGTGAGCTAGAAAAGGTGCCCAGAAAGCTGTTGAGCACAACGATAGCCGCAGTAGAGCCACCGAAATTGAATGAATGGGAACAGAAAACTGAAGATTTGCAGTGTGAAGTAGCGTTTCAGGAAAGACAAATGCTTTGAATGTGGACACTAGAGAAGTTACTGCGCAGAAAAATGCAGAATAAAAAATGTCAGTTAGTATAATGTATGTTCTTCCTCTTGCATAAGACTAGAAATGACAAGGGTTATTGAGAGGGGCGAAGAAGCAGTATGTTTAGTAGATACAGGAGAGGCAGTTTCCCTAATGTCCTACCGTGTTCAGTGACAGTCTAAATAGTAGGTTAACATGTGTTAAACATCATGGACATTTCAAACTGTAGATTTCTTATTGATGATCACAAAGTGACGTTTCCATTCAGTGTTGTTTCCGAGTTACGGCAAACAGCAACGCTACCTTAATGAGAATCTCAAAGTCTGTTCAAATTCTACCTCCTCAGTTGGATTTCCGTGCATTTGCCATACTCTGTATGTCCGCTCGCATAGCTCAAAACCACTCTACCTATCAATTTTTACAATTAAATATTGAATTATCTATCTTTTCCGAGTTTTTGAGTAAATAAATTTACATATGCAAGCTGAAAGCAACATACACACACTCACACAGAAACTGAAATAAATGAGCACTAGTCTATGTGTTTATCCCAAATAAATCGCCTCATCAGCAAAGTTATTGAAAACATAAATGAGACTACTCGAGTTTATCAATTTTTCTAATCATATATCTCTTGTAAACAGATTGACTCATTATTATTATTACTAATCAATATGCCTGAAATTTTGCGGTAAATAAAAACTGATTACCGCTTAAATTAAATTAACTTGTTTACAATTGTGGAAACTTTATTGATGTCTGAGAAAAGAAAAAAAATGAGTATCTAATCAAGTGAAGTATCCTAAAAGTTTTAAGTGTATGTCTAGTCGACTGGCTTTTTTCCCCCTCTCTTCCTCCTTTCTTGGCTTTCCAAGCATGAAGTTCTGAATATTTCAATGACCGTGGTGTGGGAATGAGGGTGCCGGAGTGCACAGTTGACTGCCTCACGTTCATTTTTTTTCCTTTTTTTACCCATCTTACCGTTTTGGCTAGTAGACTAGACGAGGCTTAAAAGTTAGTTCAAATAGGAATCGAATTCAAGGTCACGTGTAAGATTGACCAGCATAATATCATTGAATCACATGACTGACTGGCATAAATTTGCTCAAGAGTTCATTACGATTATAAAAGTTTTGCATTTTAACTGATTAAAAATGCCCATTAAAATTTTCAAAAGAATGTACACGGAACAAAGACACCTCTTTTCGATAACTTCATCATCAGGATCTACAGTTAAATATACACATTATAGTGAATGAATGAATTAGTGTTATGAACAACATTAATGTTGTTTAAATAACATCAAATCAATAATATTGATAAATTACAGCTGAACAGCATCAACATAAAATAAGCTGAATGTCAGAAAAATTAGGAAAGGTAATAGTACAAATTCATGAGTTTATAGTCTTTACTGAGGGCCAGGGCAGTAGTAGGGGCTGAACTTGTTCCTTTTGAATACAGAGCACTGGTTGTTTGAGGCGAATTGCAATAGCCTCTGCTGTTTGGAGCATGCGGTGCTTCGACGATTTTGGTAGTTTGTTAGGCACCCGGTATATTATAGAGAAGGATTCTTCTACGCTGGCTGGCTTTGTGACCGGTTTGCACCAGATGGTCTAATATCGAGCTGTTAATAGTTTTAACTACACCTTTACTTAGCCATAGTGGGATATGTTCTCGAGCACGAAAAAATCAAGTTCCTAGAGCAACGGCCAATATAACTCGCTCCACAAGCGCAGTTGAATTGATAGATACAATTTGAAGTGGCTAGTCTAGGTACTTCATCTTTCAGTCGAGGTAGCATCATCAGTCGTGTAGAGAATAATACGTGTAGTTCGCCAGCATTAAAAGTTCTTTGAACTGATTTTCTTAATTTCTTCGTAATTAACTCACTTGGTATATCGCCTATGAATTGCAGTCGTATATAAAGTGGCTTCTTGTTTACAGATAGTGGGTAGTCCTTTTCGGCTTTCTTTGTCATATGTTTCTTGATAAATTTGTCAGGATAACCATTTTCGATTAAAGTATCATATACAATGCTTAATTCATCTTTAATTACTTCTTCAGAGCATATAGCTCTAACTCTGTGGCTGAGGGTCTTCACTAAATTTCTTTTGTAATTGATAGGAACGAAGCTGTGAAAGTGTGTATATTGTCCTGTCAAAGTGCTTTTTCTATGCAAATTTCTTTTTATGCTACCGTCTGGTTTTCTTGTAAGTAGGACATCCAGGAAGGCAATTCTGTCTTGGGATTCCTCTTCACATGTGAATTTCATAGCCGAATGTACTTCATTGAATTCAGTAATTATTGTACTCCTATGGGAACCATAATCACAAAGAATAAAGATATCCTCCATATATCGGCAATAAAATGAGAGCTTACTGATAAGGTTGTTCAGAGGTCCATTTTCTAGCTTACTTAGAAAGAAAGAATTTTCAATAGCCGTGGTGTGGGGATGAGGGTGTCGGAGTGCACAGTTGACTGCCTCACGTTCATTTTTTTCCTTTTTTTACCCATCTTACCGTTTTGGCTAGTAGACTAGACGAGGCCAAAAAAGTTAGTTAGTCAACTGGGAATCGAATTCAAGGTGACGTATGAGATTGACCAGCATTCTATCAATGAATCACATGACTGACTGGTATAAATTTGCTCAAGAGGTCATTACGATTATAAAAGCTTTTGTATTTCCCAATGAATGAATAATGAAAAACAAATCCATATTGTTACATTTTACTGACGTTTCTCTATATAATGCTGTTAATAAAACTAACAAAACTCAGCTTATATATAATAACTTGATCACCGTTCATCAGCAGGTGATAGTTTTTACGTTAGAGAGGGAAAAGCAACAAGAAGTTCAGCAAGGATGGCGATATTTTCGGCGATTTCATTCTCAAAAACAGCTTTACAATCACATTTATATACATCAGTTTACATGGATACAATTTATAATCTATTTAATTCCGCATACAAATAATAATTTTCCACTTGATATGAAACTTTGAAGGTGAGAATATAGATTACAAGGAGCTTAGAGATGAGATTTCATAGGAATAGAAAACAGTTACAGCGTATACAGAATTAATATTTGATAACTGAAGAAATAATTTTAAAGGTGACAATTATTTTAAACTTGATATGAATTACAAGAGGCTTAGAAAACAAAAATTACACAGGATTAGAATATAATTGTAAAATGCTTATTCTAAACGGATTATAAGTGTGATCAGGAGGAGCATAGAAGTAAACTTAAAATAACTGATTGTATTACTGAAAAAAGAATGGGATGAATTGAATGAAGACAGAGAGTGAGAAAATTACAAACATAGAGAACAAAACAAAAAAGTGAAGGATAAGGGAACATACCGATCTAGGTCCACGGTAGTTGTAAAGAATTGGAAACATTTATTTCCCGATACGAATTTAAAACAAGCAATAAAGTGTTATGAAGGAGGATTCAATGATGGATTCATCAAATTTCGGTAGAACTCGTCAACTGACTACTCCACATACACGGATATATATATACTTTTGAAATTACATTGGGAGATATAGGACTGATAAGTAAACAAACTAAGTTGAATTAGTCATGCAGAAAGACAGGTGCGATTGTTTTCCAGGTCATGTTCAATTAGATAAGGGGAGAGAGAGTATGGGGGATCAAAATTAAGACAAATTGCATTACGCTTTAGTTATATTACTTAGATAAACAACTAGTCACTAGAGAATACATCAAAAATTGCAAACAGAGTAATACCAATGGTAATAGTTATAATAATAATAAAATTAATAATGTTGAAGTGACGTAAGATAATGGTACTGATAAAGGATAGTTTTAAATGAATCAAGAATAATAATAATAAGAGGTAGGATTATAAGTAAAACGTATTACCATGGTAGATTCAGAGTCACGACCATCTCCTTTTGTACAAAGAGACCTGCTTTGTAAACTTAAATTGCACAAGCCTCTGCAATTGCAAGCATCTTCTTGTTTCTTTGTCTGCTGACAATGGTGAATGACTTGACCGCGTCGATATTATGTCCGTAATCCACAAGATGCTTTGTTATTGAGGATTTTGGCACTTTGAACTCAGCTGTTTTCAACCATTTTGGCAAATGCTCCATCATGCGAGTAGACAATCTGCTTTCCGTACGACCTATGTATTTGCTTCCACAAACACACTCAAATTGATATACGCAGTTTGAAGTGTCGAGGATTGGCGACTGTTTTGGCTGGAAAGCGCTCCACTTCTCAGCTAACTGAAAGTGGTGTGCCTCAAGGTGCAGTATTTTCTCCATTTTTTTTCTCTTTCCTTTTGCATGACCTTCCGAACTCACCCAAAGTTAACTTCATTAAGTATGCTGATGATCTGACCGTTTCTGTCCCTGTAGTTTCCACATCAGATTGTTCCCATATGAATGGCTTCTTAGCTGAAGTCAAGGATTGGTCTGGCTCAAATGGTCTTAAACTAAATCCAACTAAATGCAATACTGTTGATTTCAGCTTGAGAAGTGAAAAAGACATGCATGGATTGATCCAATCTCATAATTGTTGTAATATTGATGGTAACATGATAGAGAGTAAGTCAAGTGTTTCTTATCTTGGCATTAGTTTCTCTTCAAACCTTTGCTGGTCGTCTCATATTCTTATAGTTTCTAAAAAGATTTTCTGTCTGACTTATTACATAAAGAAGTTGAGGCACTCAGGTATAACCCAATCTCTTCTCATACAATTTATTAATTCATGTGTTTTGCCCATCATTCTTTATTGTTCTCCATTATTCTTCCCTCGGCTACTCAAGAAAGACCATATAATACTACGAAGGACATTGAAGGATGTAAGTAGGGTCAGTGCTATCCCTTTGACTCAACTAACCGACACTGTTGTCAATAGGCACATGAATTCTTGTAAACACTTAGCAAAAGTTATTTTGTCTGATAGTGAACATCCTCTTTATTCACATTTGTTTCCTTGTATCTTTTCGGGTAAGACCAGAAGAAATTCCACAAACATTTATGCTCGTACTACAAAATATAAAAATTCGACCGTACCATATTTGGCACGAGTATTGTGTGAAGAGACGAATATCAGAAAAGAACTTTTACAACTTTTAAATCATTAACTAAACTATAAAATGTAATGATGCATATTACTGCATGTGTTATTTGTTATATTATTTATTTATTATTCACTATGACCTAAAAATGGTGTGATTTTGTTGGGGTTTTTATTTATTCCTATTAATTATCAATATTTTTAACATTTCATACATTTATATAATTATAAAAAGAGCTAAACCAATGCAATATGTAAAATGAAACGCTGAAAATTCCATGCTGTAAACTGTTATTGTTGTGGAATAAAGTGATTATATATATATATATATATATTGTATACAATACATGACTAATTCAATGTAGTTTGTTTACTTATCAGTCCTATATCTCTCAATGTAATTTCAAAAGTAC